ACACAGGTTCACAAGTCCACAAGTGAGAAGTGTGTGTGATAGAGTAGAGGAGGAGAATCCACGGGTCCACGGATCCACGGAGTCGGCTCGAGAGGCGGCAGACGGGCCTGTCAATTTGACAGGTTGGCCAACACTCGTTTGTTATTACCATTTGTCCTTACCGTTTGTTCTTACCACTTGGCCTGATCTTATCATTCCTAATTAATTATGAGTCACTAATACTTTGAGTCCATACTTATTCTGAGTTGTGATTATTGATTCATGACAATAACCTTCCTCATGTCACAACAACTTGTGACAAAGGTGAACTGTTGTAAAAAAACCTTTATAAAGAGGGTTGGGTGGAGAAGTTATCTCAGTTTGGTGATTATTTCATGGTGGATATCTGTAAAGCAAAGTCTGAAGAGTCATTAGATAGAGCTCTGTCAACAATTGTCACAAACCATGTTGTAATATCCCTGACAACTACCATCACCGACCCTCCCTTCACCATCACCAACCACCACCCAAACCACTGAGACCAACTACGGCGAAGTTACGAGAACCTAGAGGGTATTTGTCACGACCCAGCTCTTGCAGGGTCCTGACCCCAAAACCCCGAGCTCCACCTGTTGGAGCCGATATGAGCCGATATCAGTCGATATCAGTTGACATAAGTCGATATCAGTTGACATAAGTTGATATCAGTCGATATCAGTTTATATCAGTTGATATCAGTCAATATCAGTCAATATCAGTCAATATCAGTCAATATCAGTCAATATCAGTCAACATCAGTGTGATAACGGTCAATATCAGGTGATATCAGGTGATCATTGAATCACGTGTTGGTCCTTCAGAAAAGTATAAATACTAGACATATCTACTTTGTAGTTTTCCTTTTCTCAAGGATCAAAATATCATTTGCCACTCACAAAAGACCTCTTGACATACTATTTACGCTCGACACATCCCTTATCATCATTGTACCTGTCTACCCCATCACACATGTCCTTGTCATCATCTTGATCTGCCCAGATCCTTCGCAAGTCACCTTAGCCGTCCAACCACATCACAAGTCTGCGGACAACATACTAACCGTCGTTGTCCAAGCTAATTAGTCAGTTGCAGTCCACCTGGCTTTGATTCCTTGAGGTCTGTCCAGGACAGGACCGTGACAGTATTTGTCACAATAACCCCGCCTAACAGAGAACTACGGCAAAGTTAGGAGAAGGGAACCGAGGGAGAGTTGAGCAGGGGAAGTTAGACGAAGTTAGTCGAAGTGAGCAGAGTAGGGTATTGGGGATATGGCGAGGAACAAGGACGTTGAGCGAAGAGGACTGAGGGTGAGGCTGTGCCGGAGTTGAGGGACGTTCTATGAGAAAAGAGGGGAAGTATAGATAGTTTACAGATTGCTGAACTTCTTCAGCAATCCTTGATTGTTGTCAGTAGTGAGAGATATATTCAGTAGCTACAACCATCGAGTTAGGGAGAGCTACCACTGAGCAGTTCAACGTACTACGGCAAAGTTAGCCGCAGTTCTTTGACAATCACTTTATCATTCACCACTTGATGTATTACTAAGGCAAAGTTAGCCGTAGTTCCCTTGACAAGTACCCTGTCCTAGTGAGACATTGACGCCCCACTACAATGTAGTTAGCCGAGGTTTGTTGACCGTCGGTCAGAAGAGAAGAAGAAACGATGATTGTGACAACAATGCAGAACCGGTGGGGACATGTCTCTACTGTCACAAACATGTCGTAACATCCCTGACGACTACCATCACCGACCCTCCTTTCATCATCACTGAACCACTATCCATGATCAACCACCACCCAAACCACTGAGACCAACTACGGCGAAGTTACACGAACCTAGAGGGTATTTGTCATGATAACCCCGCCTAGAGGAGTCCTACGGCAAAGTTAGGAGAAGGAAACCGAGGGAGAGCAGAGTAGGGGAAGTTAGGCAAAGTTAGTCGAAGTGAGCAGAGTAGGATATTGGGGATATGGCGAGGTACAGCAAAGTTGAGTAAAGAGGACTGAGCGCGAGGCTGTGCCGGAGTTGAGGGACGTTCTATGAGAAAAGAGGGGAAGTATAGATAGTTTACAGATGGCTGAACTTCTTCAGCAATCCTTGATTGTTGTCAGTAGCGAGAGATATATTCAGTAGCTACCTCCTTTGAGTTAAGGAGAGCTACCAATCAGCAGTTTGACACACAACAACAAAGTTAGCCGCAGTTCATTGACGATCATCGTATTGTTTACCACTCGACGTACCTCTACGGCGTAGTCAGCCGTAGTTTCCTGACGAGTACCCTGTCTGTCACAGGGTTGCTCCTTCGTTAACTTCCTACAACCGACGGCCAATAACTTCTTGGGCTTTGACCTTTACCAACTTCATTGTTCGAGATATGAAATAGATGACAACAACTTCTGGGTGTAATAACTTCGTACTTTACTAACTTCTATCACTAAGACAACAACCAGAGATCGTCAAAGATCTCTGGGAACTTTGGCCCTTAAGTACTTCGTCCTTCCCTAACTTCGTCAACGCAGAAGTTTGTTCAACCCGAAGTCCCGAGCTTCGTACCTCACGAACTTCGTCCCCAACGAAGCTCGTGCCTCCCTAACTTCGTATCTCCCTAACTTCTTATCTTCCTAACTTTGTATCTCCCTAACTTCCTACATGACTAACTTCGTCCTCGACGAAGTTAGCTTCCTAATACCCTCGTCGGTGGTGAAGTTCGTGAGAACTGAGTCGTTGATGGCGAACTGATGTCCAAAGGAACTTCGTTTGATGGGAAAAAAGATGATGTCACGCGGCGCCGCGTGACACTGTCTTAGTGGAACATTGACACCCCACAACAACGTAGTTAGCCGAGGTTTGTCGACCGTCGGTCAGTAGAGAAGAAGTGTCAAGGATACTGCCCACCCTGGGACAGAGGACAAAGGACAAGGGGACAAGGACTAGGAGTGACAAGGAATATACTTAAGATAACAACAAGACTGAGTCCAACAAGGAATGGGACTGTGACCCAAGGAATGTCTCTGGCTTATCTGACAAGACTAGAGGGAACTGGAATGGACTGGAATGGATTGGACTCCAAAAGGGTGGCAATGGAAATGACTTTTGATCAAGAACTAAAGAAGACTACAAAGTACAAGATAGGGTTTATATAGACAAATCAGCCTTTTCCAAGAGGCTTGTGCAGACCTGTGGAATATGAACGCTCTGAACCGTCCTGCACTGTCCTGCATGCATTGCCTTGCATCCCACCGATAACCACTGATATCCTACGATGCCATATCTGTGTTTACCTACGTCCTACTATGACATCCTATGGGATGCGCCGGAAGTCGCTCAACTTTGTCAAAGGTGGTCAATGAGGAACTATGCAGAACATAGAAGTGCTGCGAGAACAAGAGACTGAGAGATTATGCCTTAGCAGGCATGGGAGCTAAGCACCATCATACTAGAATGATACTTGGAGTTTATGCCTGATAGGCATGAGAGCAGAGGTGAAATATTCAAACACAAAAGTGGAGGTTGAACTTGTTTTGCGCAACAAGGAACACATGATGGTGTGATTCATGACAAGAAGAAACGACAATTGTGACATCTACTAACTTCTATCACTAAGACAACAACCAGAGATTGTCAAAGATATCTGGGAACTTTGCCCCTTAAGTACTTTGTCCCTCCCAAACTGCGCCTACGTAGAAATTCGTTCAACCCAAAGCCCCGAGCTTTGTACCTCACAAACTTCATCCCTGACAAAGCTTGTGCCTCACTAACTTTTTATCTTCCTAACTTCACATCTTCCTGACTTTGTATCCTACTAACTTCCTACATGACTAACTTCGTCGAGGACGAAGTTAGCTTCCTAATACCCTCGTGGGTGGTGAAGTTCGTGAGAACGGGATTGTTGATGGCAAACTGATGTCCAAAGGAATCTTGTTTGATGGGAAGAAATGATGTCACGCGGCGCCGTTGTAGACCAGGCTTGCTGTAAACTTCTGCTGTCCATCCTGTCTCCGGGATCGGACTACTCTTTGCTGGGGACAGGCCTTAACACTGGATGCTAATCCTATTGAGAATCTCTGGTCAATGAAGCGCCTTCCAAGAGGGACAGACGTGGAGCAGTTGTTTGACCATTGTGTGACAGAGTGGGAAACTATAGACAGGGATATTGTCAACAAGGTGGTGGTTAGCATGTCAAGGAGGGTTGAGGCTGTCAAGTATGCTAAGGGGTACTCCAATAAGTACTGCTCTTAAGTACTAAGGTGGGCTGTTGACACGATCGAACAAGCAAAAATGCATATAAATTCTATAGAAGAAGTGGTGAGTAACCGATGATCGATGCGCACGCGGGTCATACGGAAACCTTTGAGAGCGACTGTACGCCTCTGAGGAACCCATCCTACATAGGCAACTACTCGTGATCCTGACACAATTGTCACAATGACCTCCATTGAGGCTTCAAAGCGCCACGGCTTTCGTCTGTCACCTGATGGTGTCAAAGGTGGTTGCTAGGTAGCTGTGCGCATAAATCTGGTTACTCTCAGCTATGTAGACAGCATAAAAACACGACCAGGAGAGATGACAAGAGGTATAGAAAGTGACACGACGTTTTCTGTCAGTCTAATCTGAGAAGATCTCACAGACCCCACGCCTCATTCCAGATTGCCGGAGGGGGAACATGTTGGGGTGGGAGGTCCGTGCGTGCGCAGGAATCTGGCGTTCGAGGTGGAAACCGGCCGGGTCAAGACAACACTTTCCATTGTTCTTCTCATACAGGTCTTCAGCTCTCTCTACAAGCTTGATGTCATAGGAGAATGATGGTCAAAAGAGTTAGGCTGGTAGAAGTCAAGTGTGGAAGGGGAGTCTGAATTTCCCCTTGTGTGGTAGGGTTCAGTGCACCTCGAGGACTCCCCGTCTGGTTGGCTTATATATGAGTTACGCTTATGGAACCTCACCTCCGGTTTCATCAGTCCAAATCATCAATCTTGATTGGGGGAATGTCTCACTCGCTCTTCCGGCCGGTATCGCCAGTCATACCAAGTCTGGATGATTCGTTCATTGAGGAACTACCACTACTTATCAAAGTGAGTTTCAGAGGATATGAGTGTGTGCACACGATTGGTGTAATTGACTGACCAGGTTGACTATCACAATGACCCTACAATGGATCGAGAGTCAAACTATTCCACAGTGACCGTAATTTACTCTGATAACAAGGTACACAATATGATCGCCCCATTTGATCGTTACCCACTGAGTGTCCGCTCGGTTTTCTCTACTTCCTCCTCTGGTTCCCAAGTGTCTCTCACTTCAGACGATGTCGTTTCGGTGACTGAGAAGACTGTGGAAACGGCCTTGTACGCTCGGAAAAAGTGGGGCGCGCCTAGAGAAGAAAAGAAGCAGTATGGGCTGATTGTCAGATGCTATCCTCAAGGCAATTGGAAACATGACTCTCATCTCGATATAATTTCTCACTCAACCGATTCTCGGGGCAGCAATGTGCGTGAGCTCCTCGCTAAAGATCAGACTTTTCTTGGTATGTCCCAAGTGATCATCCAGAACTGGTCTGCTGATCTGCGTCCTCCTACAAGGTACAGTGGCGAGATAGATGGAATTGCTTATATACAACTAACTGTCGGAAAACCCAGTTTGAAGCACATGTTTGAGTTGGAAGAATGGCTCTACGGGAGACATATCATCACCTGCCTGAGGCAAGCTTGGGTTCACATCACTCGATTGAAGGTGAGTGCAGTGTAGCTCCTTGTCCATGATACAAGAGCAGCACTCACCCGATTTAGATGTCGTTTCCGAAGGGGTCCGAGAACCAAACCACCAGTACTGAAGCGGTGGTGTTGGTGGATGATAAGGAAAGGGCAATTTCACTTTGGCGGCTGACCGATGGCTCACTCAATATGCAACCACTTCTTACCTCTCTACAGAGCATGATTGAGCCTTTCAGGTAGATATTAATCCCCTCACCAGTCATGTGACATACTGTGACTGATGGGTAGCTCCCTGCAACCGTCATTACTGCAACAAAAATGTCACGAGATGGCAAGCAGTATTGTTTCTCGGCCCCATAAGAACGATGGGACGTTTGTGATTTCCAAAACTCCTGCTAGGCAGAGTCAGACACAAGAAAGCAAGAGAAGCTTGTCACCTGTGAAGGTAACTTGGGACACTGAAGACTTCCTGCCATGCAGCAACTACGTATGTGAAGCTAAACCTCACCTGGTAAGAATGTTAGGTGAGTACTGCGAGATATTTTCCAACAATGTAGCCAGACCTAATTGGGCACGTTTACATCCTGCAGACAAGGTCTATACGTTGTTGAAAGAAAGCGCAAAGCAGGCATTGGACAGAATGGAGACTGGACAAGGTCAAGATGAACTCATCATTTCGGGTCAACGACTTATCATAGCTCAAACTGTGGATCCGCCTATCTCTCCTCAAAGCCGAGACTTGTCCAGTGAAGTGTCTATGACTAGTGCCAGATCCCTTGATATTGACGACTTCACATGGTGACGCTGGGTGAGAGAAGCATGACCCAGTCAAGCTGCACGGGCGTGATGATGGAGATGACAGATGAGACGAGGCCTGAAGATCCAGAGTGATATGAACAGGAGGCAGAGATGATGATGCATGATGATAGCACAGACTTACCTATCAGTGTCCCATTTGTGAGGGTGACGAGAAGAAGAGAGCTGGTATACATCTCCACTGGACTGTGACTCACGATATCGTGATGTGAAATCAAACCCGTTCAGGTTTGAAACCCAGGGAGTGGCAGGCAAGACGATGAGCAAGGACAAAGAAGCAGCCTGATTACAGCATGGACCTACTAGCTCCTTGTATCACTGAAGATCTTCCTAATCCAGACTTCATCGTCCTCCTTCTCCAGGTGCATTTTGTTCAGGAGCGCACGGAAATGGTTGAGTCAAAATTCCGGACCAACCGGCCGGAACTCAACCAGTTCCTCACCTTTATTCTCCATTTTTCATTCTCCGAGCAGGATGAAGGCGCATGTTACCCATGTATTGACTTCAAATCTGTCTCTTCATATTTAGGAAATCCAGAGAACCGGACATTCCACTCTGATCAATCTTCCGTTTGCGGCCAATCATTTATAGGTTTGCTTTGTCTGTCTTCCATAAGCCCACACAGCTTACATGCTCTCCTACTTGAGGGGTCTCGGCATGAACCCCGTATTGAAATTCCCGTTTGCGACGACAGATCTTGTAATACAGGTCAGTCAGAAAGCATCAGGCTACACCTGTTCATGCCGTAGCTGACTGACAAGATTCACACTTATACAAGTCAGTCGACAGCCAAACAAAGTGACCGTACAACTGCCATACTATTGACGGCACCAGGAATACAATTTCGCCTGGCAGCTGAGCCCCATCATTTCCCCCCCAGTATCATTTGGCATTTCTCAAGGCCTCCCTGGCGCGTCAGACCTTCCCAATTGGAGGGAGTGATTTATGATTCAATGGTTGCTGAGGCAATTTCTAATCACTCTGAGTCAGTTCGTCAATGTACATCATCCAGAATTTGCTGACTGCTATGTAGTGTCTGTGACAATCCGGCATGGCACCCGGATCATGAAACCTATGATGCTTTTAGTCTTGGGGATTCTTCAGAGGATGACGGGGTCAAGCGTTCAGCAACGGAAAAGAAATTAGATACCATCTCCAAAGTCATCCGACAAAGATTGTCCCAAGGTCATCAGCCACCTATGGACTACAGCTGCCACAGGGCTGACGGTTTTGTGATTGAGATCACCTTGCGCCAGCTTCTAACAGAAGAGCAGCTTTACATTAACTCCTGGGTACACGGATTGTACACTATCATGTCACCCAGAGATGACTGGACTTGCATGCGTATTGAGGTGTGTCTGGTCCTATTGCTCTGGCCTGTATGTTATGTCTCACTAACAGTCGGCAGCTCTCAGTACCAGAAGGGAAGAGAACTGAAGCAATTCTATTTGAGCATCAGGAAGAGGGAGATGTAGCTGTGCTGTCCCAGAGCCCCTACGGGTCCCCTGCAATGAGGTCCCTCCACAAATATCTGTTAGAGACAGTGGAGGTGCTAAGGTAGGTTCTGAAACCTAGTGATACTCTTGGTTGCTGATCAGTCGTGACTGTAGAGCTACGTCCATGGTAGTAAAACAGTGCCAGGATACTGTTCACGCAATCATTAGCCATTCCATGTACACGGGTAGGATATTTATTTTCTCTCCAAATTTGTCGATACAAACTGAACTGCAAGGTAGTGAGGACAAAGGTGAACCAATGTCCATCACATGGTCTATCCACCATGCCCAGAAGGATAGTATCTACACTCTTGACCATACTCTGTTGAGCATGCTAAGTGATTACTGCAAGAACTCCTCCAAAGCCAGTGAGCATATTTATGGTGATTTGCCAAAAACACTTCTTGCGGTGATTCTTGAAGCCTCGGACAATGCCTTGAAGGCTCTGGAGGGGTGGGACAGAGCCGCCTATGTCCTTCCTTCGGTTCCAGGCAGTGTGATCAGTTCTCTGCGGTCCGCTGCTCCAGCAGAGATCCTTGAGATTTTGACGGCTACACCCGTGTCTGACTATCTGAATCAAGTTGATTGAGGAAGTCTCAACGTGGACCAAACGGAACACCATCCATTCATGGTGGGATCGGTGGCCAGGAAAACTCAACTCCTGGACAAAGAGCGGATGGAGTGACCTGCAATGTGATGTTAGAGTAATTGAGAGGTACAGTATATGATGCATGGTGGTTGCCACAGATTGACCTGGCTATTCACAGGAAGGAACCCACATTGTTGTAGTGTGCACTCACATCCTTGCAGTACCTTCACTGGGTGTGTAAAATCAACAAGGGTCTCTTGGTGAAGCACACCTCTCTGAAACTTGCCATGCAATTGTGATTGAAGTCGTCACGTCGTACGAACCTCATTCGAGTTGTTGGCCAACAGTCAATGTGGGCAGCTTTGACATTTCATGACATTGTGGCTGATGAGACCCCTCCACAAGATCTGAACAGCATTTTCGTACTAATTCAAATTGTGATTCCGCCTGGTGCGTGAACAAACACAAGACGATGGATTCAGGATCTTCAATCGTCGGACGGATCATGCCTGATTCAGAAGCGGGAAGAGCGGACGCCATGACACGAAGCCTATTCCCTTCCTTTCGTGATCGCTGCTGGTTTTCTCCCCTCCCCCTCACCCCTTACTCTTGCCCTCACCTCTCATAACCCCCCTTCCCCCTTCCTCTGGACCTCCTCAACTTAAAACCCAGTTTTAATCTTGGTGGGCATTCTATTTTCTCCAAACAGAGTTCAACATGCCAAAGTCATATCGGTACGTATCTGGATCTCGGACCTCAGGAAACGTGCGACTACTGAAGGTGAGCGGGACACATCTACAGGACACCTCTCTGGTGGTAGGGGTGAGAATCAATTTTGCTGTGACTCTATATGCTCATCAGAAAGTTTCGTACGTACCGTGATCCTGCCACTACTGGGAGTGTAGAGTCTAAGGCCCGGTCAATTTGGTCAAGCGCTATACTCGCTCTGGATAGGTATAACCTCCAAGACCTTGCAGCCAAGGAGGATTGTTATCCTGCAATAATTCAATCTCTGCTCTCTGATCCACCCTCTACCATCACTGACCCGGCAATATCCCTGCAGCTCATGCCTGAGGCTATTTCAGCCGCGCGTGATTCCCACCTTCTGTCAGTCTTCCATCGTTGCAGAATAATGAAGTTGGCTGACAACTTGAACTCATGTTCATGACACGAGCCTGTTTAGCCTTGGCAGCTACAGCCACACATTTGTCGTTTTTGCTGACCGGTCTGTTGGTGAGGACAATGATCCGGAACTCCTGGGAACATACCAAAGCATGGATGAAGTTTCCTTTGCAATCAGTCAAAGGCTTTCAGAAGGGTCTCATCCCCCCATGGACTACACTTGCTGGACCAGAAACTTTTGCGCAGTGGAAATAACCATCCGGTTACTCACCTCGGAGGCTCTCCGTGAGATTCACCCTTGGCTTATGACACGCCGAATGATACAGTATGCAGGGAAGGCACACTTGAAGATTAGTCACTTCAAGGTAAGAGAGTTCCATTTCTCTGTTACTGGTCTGATACCGCTCACAAGAAATCAGGTCTCCACTTCTCAAGGATGTAAAGCTGAGGGTATCATATTCAACTCGCTAGATGTTGAAACTACAGTTCTACCACTATTGCCTAAAGCATCAGTCAAGATGGAGATACTTGAGCCCTACATTGAGCAAACCATTTCCAGCTTGACGTGAATATCCACAATTCAGATACAAGAAGTATGCTGACATTGAGTCCTTCAGGGGGTCCCTCAGCTACCAGGGAGCAGCTCGATGGAATCACAAATGGCATAAAAGACAGCCGACCTGGTGGCACCTTGACCCTGCTGTATCCACTCATGGGACAAAATCTCACATCTGACTCCAACGGGCCGTTGGTAATCACTTGGGAGAACCTGTCGGCTGAGCCTAATACTGTGATTCTCAATCTGAAGACCAATATTGTTGGGTTCCTGGATGATCATGGGACCTCGTTCCTCGGTGCTGATCCTCAAGGGCAAACCAAGCAAGATTCTGATGATGGAGTCCTTCAAAGACTTAGACGGAGCTTGACAAACGCCCGTAACTCGCTTAAAGAGGGAGGCTACGAGATCTATTTTCATCAAGCTCCCTCCCCGTTGCTTCGGAATGTTGAGCCTCCTTCTTGTGTTCATCTTACACAGGCTATTGCAACACATGATGAGGTGATCCCGGAATCCACGGTGATTCCGGGCTGGTTTCATGGATGGTGGAGGATTTATGAATGGGAGACAGTTGTGTCCCCTCTTAGGGCTCGTGAGAAGTGATTAATTGTATGTAGTGCAGACATCAACAGCTGATTAGATGTAGTCCGGTGAGTGAAGAGGATTGTGGAAATCAGAGAAGGAGATGCATGATGCCAGCACAGGTGCTTCAGCCTTTTTGCATAGACTGTTACTTGAGCATGATGGGAGTAAGAAGACCAAGAATCTCAGCGTTTCGGATAGGATACACTTGCACAGATTGAGATTGCACATATGCGACGGATTATCATGGCCATGGCTCGCATGGCTTTCGACTGCCACAAGCGCCACACGCCACATTCACTTCTACAGATTCTTCGTATACTCGAATTATGGAGAAAAATGTGCCTGGGCATCTGCCCTGAGCTAAGGAGAATTTGGGAGGCCGCGGAGCGGACGACCGGCGTGTCTGGTGGTAGATCAAATCACGTGTAGGCTAAGTATTTATTTTCCTCATCTCTCTCTCCTTTATATTCAAGTCTAGTCCATCCATGGCCCAGGACTAAGCATTACTTGAGGTCTATGGCAATCATATCACTACTACGATCTGATGACAATCTGCGATGTAGCACCGGCCGAGCCCGTTCAAACAGAAGCGAGCGACACGGGTTTCCACCCCTGTCTCCGATAAGCTGCCAGAGCATCTTTCACAGCCTGTTTCAGGAAGCGATACGGTCTATGATGTGAGAAACAACCGAGCTGAGTGGGTTTAGTCTATTGAGGCTGTCTGGACAATGAGCTCTCCTTTCAATCAAGAGACAAGAGGCGGAGGCCGAAGACGTTTTATTTCTCGTGTCGCCGAATTGCCGAAGTGTCCGCTAATGATATATCTTCTGTCAGTACTAGTACCCTCGTATCAATAAGCTCGTTGAACTTAGCACATTATATCTGCTAACCCACCCACACGTATGAATTCGGCAGGTTTAGATTCGGATGGTCCGGAGATACCACCTGTTCTGATACAAGTGAGGTTTGTCACTGATAGAGCACACTACTCGTGGACACGTGGCGTTCGAACGCACGCAATGTTCGAACGAAACTTTTTGATATCGTTATGTATCTTTCATTCATCTTAACATCTTCATGTGAACAGCTATGGACGCAGCAATCGCCTACAAGCTTGCCAACCCTTCCGAGAGCCTTCGTAAAGTTGCAGGTCGCTTTGAGGTCTCTCATGTCACTCTCCATGATCGCTTGAACAACAAACATGCTCCTCCCGGTACCCTCATCCCCCGCAACCTCTCCATCATCCAGGAAGAAGCCCTCATCGCTAAAATCAATGAGTATGCTGCCAGAGGTACCCTTCTTACTCCTAAACATGTTGGCGTTTTTGCCCAGGCGCTCTGCGATCATCAACTTGGAGTTAATTGGACAACTACCTTCCTACGCCGACATAAGGATCAGGTTGCATCGAAATTTTACCGTGTACAAGAAGTAGCAAGGCTCAGAGCGGATACACCAGAGAATAGGATTGCTTTCCTAACCCTTGTGAGTTTCTCCAGAGCAGTTATGTTGAAAGCTGACCGCAAAAGGCAAAAGAAACATTTGATGCTGGTCAATATCATCCTGAGAATGTGTATAACGTCGATGAAGTCGGATTTGACCTTGCTGGTGGACGAAGGACACGAAGAGTTGCACCTCGAGATGCTCCTATCAAGTCACAAGCAGCCCTTCCCACCGATACTCACATCAGTGTCATCGCAACCATCTCCACTTCCGATGCCCCAGTACCACCCTTCCTCATCTATCCTGGCAAGAATCTCATGTCTGATTGGTTTAAAGTACGACAGGATACTCCAATTCAGCAAGCTGTAGTAACAGATAGTGGATATATCAATTCCTATACGATGATTCAATGGTTGACCGAATGTTTTGACCCATACACCGTGGAACGCGCCAATGGACATCCCCGTTTGCTCATCCTTGATGGTCATGACTGTCACACCTCGGTTGCCTTTCTAGATGCTTGCTGGGAACGCAATATCACCTGTCTTGTCCTCCCTGCTCATCTATCCCAAGTTTTCCAGCCGCTAGATGTCGATTTCTTCCGAATACTCAAAGAAACATACGATGACCAGATTGACACCTATCAACTTGGTACCGATGAACACCACATCCCCAAACCGTTCTTTTATCGCTGGCATCAACGAGCCTGGCTTAGAACTACAACTACACACCAAATTCAGACAGCCTGGGCCAAATCCTACCTCTTTCCTCTCACACGGATCAGTGTTGGACTCCGTGAGGCTCGTCCAGTCACACCTCCTCCTCAAACTGTCCCTCCAACTGAACCTATCACTCCCACGACTACTACTAGTCTCTCTGCTCTTGATCGAGCTATAAGACGTGGCGAAATTACTCCAGGGAAAACATCAAGAAAGACAAGAAGCGGACTTGAACAATTAGTGGCAGAGAAGGCCCTGCATGAGAAGGATGAAGCGCTCCGGAAAGCGTCAGAACAATTAGACAGGGCAGCTAGGGGTAGTAAGAAGAGACAGAGGTATCCACATGGCGAAAGATTTGACCAAGCATACCAAGAAAGTCATGCAGAAGAACTAGCAGAAAGGCGAGAGACAGAAACAGCAAAGAGGGAAGGGAGGAAGCGTGCAGCTCAATCGGCTAAGGACACACACACTTCAAAATCCGGGAAGGAGTGCAGTGCAGGTCCGTCTAGGAGTGTGTGAAATTTGAGGACCGGAGAATAGATACATGTAGAGATATGAAATGTTTTGTGACGGGGTGAACATCGCGTGCGTTCGAAGCTCGCGTGTCCACGAGTACTGTAGAGCTGACATCTCAGATCACAATCCATGGGTCACGAAGGGTCACCCTCGTCGCAAATCCCAATAATATTCAGCCTCTGGATGCCGAGTTTGATTGTTATCCGCTTAGTGTCCGCTCTTACTTCCCTGCCGACTCTGAAGCTCATCATGTCCATGATAGGTCGTTGATAAGGGATAAAATGTCTCTATCTGCTAACGCCCTCTACACCGCAATCAAACATCACACAAGGTCAGCCTCTACCAGTCAAAGTTGAATATCACTAACAATCAGCTCTCATAGCGAGGATTGGGCGAACTCGGATTTGAAGATCATCGCGCACAACAACGAAAATTCCGATGAAGGTGAAGAGGTTTGCGTCAGTGATCAAGATTTATGCGGGGTCGCTCATGTTGTGAGTACAAACTGGTTGACGAATACGATCCCTCCTAGTTATAGCTGTATGAGAGGTGATACACCAATAATGGAAATCAACATACGTCAGGTTCGACCGAAAGATTTGACGGATATCGAGACTTGGCTTCTTGGACGACACTTTATCGGTAGATTTATCGCGTCAAGGGTGAAAGATATGTGGAACATCAAACATCTGAAGGTGGGTGTATTAATCCTTTCAAATCATCATTTGATGCTAAATATCAGTTTACTTCTCGTCCTCAACCGTCACCTCTGGACACGGCGGAGACAGAGATGAATGCCCTGATGTTGAGGAACTCCGTTGTACTATCTCTACTTCGCGATGGAACAATACAACAGGAGTCACTTCGGACTTATCTCACGACCAGCTTGCAGATGTTAGCGTAGGTACCGAAAAGCCAACCTGCACTGAGTCTCATGTAGCTGACAATTAGTACTCCAGTCGAAGACACCGGTAACGCGGTCCCACACGATAACGCCACTGATGCTCTCACACATGATACCACCAATGACGTTAAGCCCGTCGCGGATGATGACAACACTAGTACCGCCCCTGTAATGAGCACTTCCGATTTCTTGCATATGGAGAGTGATATCCTAGCCGATACGATAACGCGAGGCAGAGTGAATGATCAAGGGACAATTACGACTTATCCTATCGGAGGGGAAACGTCAAGCCATGCAGATGAGGTCGTTCCCATGGAAATTACCTGGCATCTCCACCTCATTACCGACGAAAAGTCTGCCCGTCGACTTCCTCCGCAACTGGTCAAGATGCTGGGCTATCACTGCGAGACTTTCCTGATACCGCGTCCCGAGTCTGATCATGACACGACGCGGATGGCCAACTCACCCAGCCAATCATTCACGGAGGGTGTCGCGCGACTTGCTTTTCAGGCTGTGGAAGCTATGGAGAGGGGTCTGCCTAATCTCAAGTTACCTGGGGAACCAGATTTGATAGATGATGGTTATATCTCGAGCTGTCAAGTCTCTTGAGGGTCTCCGCCGGGGAACGATATCTCTCTCGACGGCGAATGTGATGAGATGGGGCACGCAGACGAAGAGATCAGAGATGAACATATGCATATATCCTCATGTACCGTGTGAAATGATGTCCTCAGATGCAGTGCCAATTGTTCTCCAGTCGAGATAGAAAGTCGAACCAACATCTCTAGATAACCGACTAACCGATATGGGCAGGATCACTTCCTTCCTCCTTCTCCTTTCTCCTTCCGTTCCCCCTCATCTCTCTATCCCCCAACAGCTACGACTAGGTGTAGGAGCAAACAAGCATGTCCCATCTTACCCGCTTCACACGTCTATTCTTCCTCTGTTTCCTCCTGCTAGCCATTCCAACCCTCTACCTTCTTTACCCATCCCCTCAACCTGCCCAAACACCAACCGACATTGTGGAAGCGTACGAAGCTGGTGGCATTGACAGTCCGCATTGGCGACCACCCATAAAGCCGGATTATGAACTTGAAGAAGGTAGAGATTGGGAGGATGAGGTGATCTTGGATCGGCCTGTCAGTGCAGAAGGGGAGAAGGGATGGATGAATGAAGTGGTCGGTGGAGGGGTTATCATGCCAAAATTGGGGAATGAGACTGCGAAGTGGGTCCGATATGGGAATGTCTTTCAGACCTAGTTAATCAATTCCCTCAAAAACCGATTATTACCAAAGTCACTCATGCTCATGTCGTAGTGGAGGCGTCTCTGACTCAGAGGGGGTGAATTCGAACGGAAAGGAGATGAGGAGGAGGTTCCGTTGAGAAGAGAGACGTTGCTGATGTTCAGAGCCGAATTAGGAAGAGCGGCGTGGCGAGTTTTACATCTTATGACTTTACGTTATCCAGATGTGAGTTCTGGGCTCTTCTCTTTGATGGCTCTTCATCTATCTCTCATATCAACGAGGTGTGAGGTGTGAGGTGTGAGGTGTGAGGTGTGAGGTGTGAAGGACACTCGAGTGAGGTGTCAGAAGTAGAAGAGGAAGGATTGACAAGAACAGAACCCAACACCAGATGATAGATCAGCTTTGAAATCGTATTTCCATCTATTCTCAAGGTTATATCCCTGTGGTGAATGTGCACAAGAGTTTCAATTATTATTAAAAGAATATCCTCCTCAAGTGAGTCGATTCCATCACCTTCTCTACTCTCTCTCTCCATTTGTCGGTCTCCCTTTCACAGCCATCACCACCCGATCTTTCACCCTGACCTGACTCGTCCAAGGCCCCTTGGACGGATATCTGATTTTGACCCGTCTCACCGATGACGACATGATTGCCCCAAAGATCTGCACCGTGTGAGACAAGGAGATTATATGAAGTGGTTGATATTGACCCATCAGACGTCATCCAGAAAATCAGCTTCATTATGGTTATGTCACATTCATAACCTTGTCAATGCTCGACTTGGAAAACCTGAATTCGATTGTTTGACTCTTGATGCGACTTATGATTGTGGTTGTGGGGATGAATCGTCGACTTCTGTTTCCATCTCTTCAACTCCCACTCCCACTTCCACTTCTATTTCTACTTCTTCGAAGGGTCCTATGAAGTGGAAAGTCAGCGGGTTTGAGGAAGATACGAGTGACGATGGTATGAATGATGATTGGAAATCAACTCGACCTTCTTCTCTTTTTCCAGAGAACGATTGGGGGCATATGCCCGATATAATCGAACCAAGTTGGGATGAGAGAGAAGAGTGAATGAAACTTGACGATCGGACAATGATAGATTTTGGAGTCTGTATCTTACAAAGGGTTATTTTGTGCGTATCTGAAAGAGGAATGTTGTAACAACAAAAATGCATATCTTTATCATTTATCAAAATACAAGATTCCTCCCTTCTAATCCTCGCTAGTCGACTCGAACTCGTTCAGCACCGGTAAGATCACGAGATCGTCGGGGGTAGGGATGGAAAAACGAACAGAAAAGATTTGTGAATGAAATTCCGTCGGATTGTCGGAGGATCAAGCGACGGGAACAAGAGGAAGTGCTGGCAGGGGTTCACCAGCAGGGACGAGTTGTGCACTCAAGATTGGCTTTCCGGTCTTCTTGATACATTCTTGTATTTCTGATTCCGAAGGGAGATTGTCACCCCATACGGCCACATATTGTCCTTCGAGGGAAACGAAAAATTCGACTGTGGGTGGCAAAATGAGATTGAACAGCGGAGGTTACAAAGGAATAGAGATTGAGGGTGAATATGAAATAAGAAGATGTGTCAGCTTCAAACCTAACTTCCAAATATTGACCCCATACTCGGGTGACAAATTTTTCTCCCGATCGCAAACGGCTTTATCATTCCTCGCACAGACCGACATGGTCCAGAGTCATATGGGTAGTGGTACATTCTGGAGATTCTTAAGTTGTAAAGAGAAGAGTTTGCGACGTTATATATGATGTAGTAAGGGAGCAAACGTTATGAGAAAGGTGGAATGTTGTCAAGAGGTAAAAGTTGTGAGGATGTACTGAACCAACAATAAAAGATGGAGGGAAGAAACACAGAACGGTGGAAAGAACTACACATGAAAGGGGATAAGTTTCACAGGGATCGAGCGAAGGGTGAATGTGCGAGAACAAATCCCGACTTCATGAATATAATTGAAAAAAGAGATAAGAAATGAACCCTCAACTCACCACCTTTTTTCTGTAATACCCTAGTTACAGCACCGGAACAACCAGTACATGTCATCTTGACATTGTAGAAATACCTCACTTTGTCCAATGGAATTTCTACTTGAGCGGGGGCTGTGACGGTCTGTTCTTCGTTAGCTCAGTCACTTATAATCCATCCACAATTATCTTCCAGCAAAAAGAATATCGTTTTGCTGTTGCGGTGCTTAAGCATTATGGAAAGGATGGGTTGTGGAAGAGTAAGAACGAGTGAGGAATGGAGACGTACCATGTTAAATCAGGATTGCTTGTCCAGCAAGTGACGAAAGAATTAGTAAGGATCGAGTTGAGAAAATCTGTAGAGTAGATGGATGGATGTGACTTGTATGAAGAAAGAAGTGACGGAAGAAGGAAAGCGGTGAGAAGGTGGACGACGGTTGCTTTGTAAGATCGGAAAATGAATCGTTTCAAACGTCATCTTGCGACGGCCGATAGATTAGTTACCTTCCTTCCTTCCCCTTTCGGCAAGTCCGAACCTCCGGAACAAGCATCGGGGGCAATGACCAAAGATCTACTTCCTCCTTGATGATGCAAACATCTTGCGACTGCAAAGTGGAACAGCCCAAGTCATACCTGACACACTTCATACTAATTCAATACAATAACCTTATCCTACATACATCTTAAATACTATACAAAACTTCGCCATTCATTCCGCCTTATCCTTTTCTTTACCTGGGGAACCTGTCCAACCCCACCAACTCGAACTTCTTCTCCCTACTCCAGGTCTCTGACCTTCAGCCTCACGAGCTTCATCCATTGCTACATGTTCGTAACTCTCCACCCATTTTGCTGAAGAACGTGAAGCTAGACTTTCCGCTGAACTGTTCTGTGACGGAGGTCTATCTACGGGTAAAGAGGCCGACATGGCACGTGGTTGACTGGAAATTCGAGAAGAAGAGATGGCTTGGTTCAGTTGAGAGGCCATTTGGTATGTTCTCGAACGTAGTTCAGCAGAGCTTGAAGAGTCGGTACGGACTGGTGGAGTTGGGATGGGGATTGGCATGTCTACACTTTCGGGAACTTGGGTGGCGCGGACGGGAGGTTGAATGGGATTACGTGTGGATGCAGCGGCGGCTGAAAGGGCTGAGATGGCAAGTGGCATGTATCTAAAGGTCAGATCTGTATCATTCCCATGAAACAAGTCTCATTGAAACACACAAGAATGTATTGTGCACTGTGTAGGGCGGTTTGCAGGAGTAGATGGTTTGTATTGAGCATGGTGATAGCGGATGCCGAGTAGGGGAAATGAAAAAAAAGACTTGCCTGCCTGCATAATGAGTGACAGATCGGTATAATTGTTGCACGGCACCAGAAGCTGGATCCTGCAAGGTGGGAGGTTGTGTCGGGTCAGATGGATATTGAGCGTTGCCAAGGGAGCTGTAAGCGGGAGGTTGACCTGGTGTTCCGACTTGGAATCCTTGAGGAGGTAAAGCGCCCTGAGCGTGAGCATATGAATCGCATACTTCACATCTCCGCTCCCTATCCACACGCGATAGACAAAGACATAACATCTCAGATGGAAGACGGAACCGTGTGGTTTTATGATAACGAAGTGATTTTTTCCTGATGAGAGCATGGTAGAAGAGCCATCAGGGACTCATGAACAACTCACATTCAACTGTTCCTTCGCCCTTTCCCAAACCCATCCCAAACCTTCAGTCAAAGCAGTACTAGCTCTTCCTTTCAAAGAAGCCAAAAACGCATCGACGTCACCTTCATATTGATGAAAGAACGGTGCGAGGTGAGTATGATATATATATGCGGCGCCCTGTCCGTCAGCTTGATCGAATTTGATGAGCGAGCTAGCTAACCCCTGAGGAGGGTAAAGCCAGACCAACGAAGATGGTAGTTTTGATGATGTTGTAGAATGGGATCCTGCGTATCAGCCAACACTCCTGATCTTTGCATCATCATATCGATCGACGACCGCCCGTATGGAATGCACGAGTTTCCTTCGACGACTTGCTTTGCCATTAAATCTTAGCAAGACTAATATTTCCACTACAATCATTCCAATCTTCAGAACTCCTCTCCACTCTCCCTAGCATCAGTGTTGACTGGGTCAAGGGTAGGGTCGTCAATAAGAGGAGGAAGATGTTGTGATCACTACCCCGACTTACCAAGTAAAACCCCATCCTATGACACTCTCAACAGCAGTCCAACTTCCCAACACTGCCCAATACATTAACCATCTCTCCACCTGTCCTTGACCTTGTTCACTCGATGCGGGTAATGATAAGGCCTTGTAGGATGCATAAGCAGGATGAAGGAAACATACTGTTGTTCTATAAATCAGCTCTTCCGTTTCTTTCCTTGTGTAAGAAGGTCGAGCCTTCCAATCTTTCTGTATGCCAACTCCAAGTGTGCAGAAATCCGTATCCACCTTCCAACTGGGCAAAACTTCCTATCCACTTTGTGCAGATGATCTCTATCTCATTCCATCACTCTACCCGACATGTACCTTATCATGCCCTAATCACTCTACCCGACATGTACCTTATCATGACCTGACCAAATGACTATCTCCATTCATGTTCGAAATATGACTCGTTGTCCCTTTGTGATCCATCCTTCCTTCTATTTTCTTGTCTTCCCATCTCTCCCATCATCTTTGTCCTGATCAAACAGTCAGGAGTACTTTCCTGTTCTTTCTTCAAAGCGATAAAGTAACTGAGCCATGGTGGATTGATGTGGATGAATGGAAGAAGATTGAGACGAAAGGGACTGACGTGATAACATTTGTTAATAGACCTAACATCTTCACTTATCTTCAATCTCGATCTTTCCTCTCTATGTGTTGCTCCCTTATCTCTTCGAGCGTCTCAATGCAGATCTCTGCTCCTATAGTAGGTCGTTGATTCCCCAACGTAGTCAATGAGAACGGAGAGAGGAGAAGAGGAGAAGAGGAGAAGAGGAGAAGAGGAGAAGAGTAGAAGAGTAGATGGGAAGAGGAGAGAAGGATATGCTTGGAACGAGGTGGAGTACGAACGAGTAAGCGCAACCGGCGATCGGTGTCACCCCCGCGGCCGGCGGTCTCCGCCAAGATTCTCGCTCGTCTGCTGGAGGAGGTTTCACTACGTTACCTCAGATCGTCGCGTGTTCAGTATGCTACATGATACATTGGTCAGAGGTAGCGAGTTTGAGAGTTTGCAACCAGAGGAGAAAGAGAAAAGATGGAGAAGAAGAGGCTAGAAGCTGATAACTCGATGCAAACGACAATTCATCTATCTGGCTACATCATGCAAACACATCACAAACATGACAAAACAATCCCATCTACTCTTGTTCAAATCTTTGATCTTTGCCTCTTCGGCGCTGTTCAGCGAAATCCGCAGACTCTTTTACAGGTGATATGAAATACCATTTCTTCATTCTTCCCTCTTGACGACCGATATGCTTATACCGACTGTAGGAAAAGGTATGATTGCTTTACACAAATATAATCAATGGCTTCGGATAAACAAGTGGACCGATATGTGTTCGGCCTAAAAGGATGAGGTTGACAGACTTTAGACTATATACACATTCGTGATTGGATTAGTTCTTGAAGACAATGCAGTATTTACGCCCGAGTTTGCGCAGGTGGATTCGGAGCTTGGAATGGTATTCTGAGCACACGAGGGACCAATTGGGGAGAGGGACGAGGTGTTGATTGTGCTGGAAGAGGAGGAGAATTTGCTATTCCCGCTGAAGATTTCTCGAATTTGGGTGTCGGGGTATTGGCTGGGGAGTTGGTTTGGGATAAGAACGGGAATCCTTGAGGGGATGCTTGACCCGGGGTATTATTACCTTTGGGAGGAAAATGAGAAGTGTTGTCCGGTGTGGCCATGGAAGGGGGTTGGAAGAAACAAAATCTGTCCAGCTGGTTGTCAGTCATGACCTTTCAAAGATAGACATGATAGTTATGAACTCGTAAGCTTATGCATACCAAGGTAGAAAGAGGCGGAAATGTTTAGGTGAGAGCGAATGGTGGGAAGGAGGTTCGGCATGACAATAAAAATATCGAAGAATGAAAGTGAGGGAAAACTCACAAATTCTTGATAACTATCACTTCCAAACTGCTTAGCCTTCATCTTTCCCGCTTGCATACGACTTGCAAAACTCGCAAAGTCCGCTGATGAAGAATCCGAGCTGATCGTATGAATCGGCGACGATTCACCTGTCGACACTGTCGAGCTGGATGGTGAAGGTAACAATGGTAGTTTGGGTCGGGGTGGCGTCGGAGGCGACGACAAATTTGATGATGGAGGAGTCATAAGACCAGCATCATCACTGACCAAGGCTTGAAGATTATTGGTGGATCGTTTCATGCTGAGCATCGGACGATCAGGAGACGACTCTCCACTATCAGCTAACTCTCCTGTCGGTGACCTGGATCCAGAGGCCACGGGTGTAGCTTCTCCGTCTGTCGAAGAACAACTCGAGATATCGTCGGGTGGTCCATTCTCCTCACTTTCAAGAGCGTTGGCGAAAGAATCCCAACTGGCAGATTTTCCATTCCAACTGGACCTTCTCTCATGTTGCAAAGGCGAAGCACGGGTTGCAGGTTGTCCGCCGATGATGGTCATGGGTGAACTGATCAATTCAGCTGGAGAGGCCACAAGTGAAGGTAGGTTGATCTCTCTAGGGGGTGATTGAGGTGGAGAAGGTGCGCAATACTTCGAAAGACTCAGATGAGTATGTACATCGGGGACTGAAGGGGCTTTGAAAGCGACTGGCGGAGGAGGGGTAGGTAAGGGAGAGTCGGTACGTGGGATAGGCTCTTCTCCTGGATGTTTACCATGTTTGGGGAATAACCAATGCTTGGGACCGGAGGGATCGCTGTGCGCGACAGGTCGATGGTGATGTACTTTGAGGCCGGGCAGTGTGGTATGTGCGGGATCGTTGAGACGAAGGAAACCGCCTGCCATGCCAGCAGGACCTGAATGTCGGATAGGCCGTCGAGGGGCTTTCTTGAATGTGAACGAATAGTTCATGCCGTCGTTCGAATCCCACCATTCTTCACCATCAACAGAAAACCTGACGCAGAGGATCAGTTGACGTTCATCCAGCTTGCGACGGTAGTCTTCCAGTTTGATAACGAAGCTGAACCGATCCCATCCTTCATCATAGGTAGTAGCGGATGGGATGTGCGTCACATGGGTGCAAGAAACTTCAGAGGTTGTTCTGCTCAATCAGCTTCGTCCGCTTGCACGGAATCAAGGTACTCACTGCCAATGGTCCATGGTGAAGCGCACCGCAACCCATTTTTGGAAGGCAACATTCCTGACCAAAGCCGTACCACGCAGCTGCAGTGGACCTGGACCCGTCACCAATTCCACCCTTTCCAGTATCACATTCTCGCCTTTCAACAATTCCTTCGTCTCTGGTCCAAAGTCTGTCCGTAGTCTGGGCACACGACTACCGCCGTCTAGCTGGATAGAGTGGGCCTCGTCGATAGCTCTAGCTGCCTCATTGCGTCGCGTGCGGAACTCAACAAAGTCGGTGTCCGTGTCGAGATCATTTTCCGTCTCCCTATCCGTGTCCCTGTCCGTATCCCGATCGGAAGCTCCGGTGCCCGGTTCACCAGGGGTACGATTGATCGCCGTGACTTTCTGCTCACGAAGGAACACCACGACATTTTCTAAAACCCCGTCCTCTGCGTCATCACCTCCAGCAAACCTGACGCTTTTCGACCTCTCCTCACCGAATTGCCTCACAGAGCCATCTGGGGATGGAGGTTCGGAAGGAATTTGGCGAGTAAGGTCGGGAGTGGAAGCGGATCGTTGCTTGAGAGACGACTTGACGACCTCTCCTGATTTCTTACGGATCATATTGCTGGTTGGACGAAGGAGGGAGTGTTGATGTTGATGCACAGGATGTTCTTGCGGTCGCGGAGAGCTTCTGCCAGTTTCGGAAGGATGAGGAGGGAATTCTATCTGTAAAGAACCAGTGCCACTGCCTCGATGAGAGCTAGCCGAAGATCTACGAGCGGCCAATGCAGGTCTCGGAGGAGAGGCTCTGCCGATTACATGCTGATGATGGTGGGGCTTGAGACTTGGTTCAAAGGTAGGAAACGGGACGCTGTGAGCACCTCGCGGTTCCTTTGTACGACTGTCTCCGTGGTCTTCGATGTGTTCGATGTGCACAGGCAGATCGCGAATGTCGTCTTGAGGTGTAGCGGGGAGAGAAGAGTCAAGAGTGGAAGTGGAGCTCATGGAATCTTTTGTGCGTCTTTGAGAACTGATTCCTTTTGCAGGACTGGGAAGAAGTCGAAGACCGAGACTACCATCACCGTTAACGGAAGTAGGAAGACCGGGAACTGCAGATGGACCTTCGTCACTTGCTCTTCTAGGTAATCCATCGACTGGACGGGATGCTGAGGGTGTTGAAGGTGTGGACCCTCCCATACTGGGTGTTCGTGACATGGAAGGGATGATACGACGTGGTGTGGTGGCAGGGGATGCGTTGGATGAAGTTCGACGAGGTATAAGAGGCATTGGACCTGTGGCTGTGCTGGGACCGGCGTCGATGGTGGGGTATGTCCAGCGTGACCGCGACGAGGTTTGTTCCTTGACAGGAGAGGGGAGGGGGGAAGGGGAAGTAGGTGTAGCGTATGGCATCGAAGTGGCTAGAGTGTCAGCAGGTCTAACCTTTGGAAGTACACCACCCATGTCGAAAAGATTGAAAACAAGGGAAAGCGAGACAAATGAAACAAGCAAGGATGCCGAAGAATAGTGAGAGAAACAAAGGTCAATCAATATGAGAGAGCGTAGAGGGAGAGCGAGTGAGTAAATGGAACCGGAAAGACGGGAGACGAGCCGGTATGGGAAGGAGACCTAAACACGATCGCAATAAAAGGGAGACCGAGCATGACGCTGTACGCCGTATACACCATACACCGTTCGAATGTTTCATCTCATCGAGTGTTATTTGACGTTGAGGGATAAATGATCGATGACGTACTGATTACCACTTCCGCACAGCAAAGCAGATTACAATGTTTTGACAGAACCCAATCTAAGTCAACATGAGACAGCCAGATGACATTGATTTTCGTCTATCGATACAGACAAACGTGTTGGAGAATATGGGATTGGAAAGGGATGAAAAGAAGTATGAAAGGTGTCAAAGGCTTAGTTGGCCGAAGAGGTCGGGAAGAAAGGAGTAGATTTCAAAGTGGATGCAAGGAGAGATTCGTGAAGATCGTCACAAGATCGTGAAATGAGACAAAGGGAAGAAAAATGAACCCGGAAACAAGGAAGGGGATTATAGGATGAAAGAAGTAAGGAATAGGATTAGAAAGGTGTATGAGAAGAAGAAGAAGGTAAGAGGGGAGAAAAAAAAAAGAGTTGGAGTGGGAGAGGAAGATCAGGGTTTGTGTGTAAATGTATGTACTAAGCGGAGGACGCAAGCCCCGAGCGTACTTTAGGAGCACGCGTAGTCGGCTGAGATAGATCGTTCGGGACTGTGATGATGGCTGAGCTCAAAGGAGGTACAAATACAGTGGGGATATATCCGATTATAAACCCCCGCATACCTCCCCCACACAACTAACTAGAGGAACGGAGAACGGAGATGAAAATGTGCAAATGGTCAAGCAAGGATGTGTGAACAACAACGCCACAGCTGAGTGCTCTGGCGCTCTGGAATGTGTGGGGCCCGTTCTTAACCGGTTTAAGACAAAGAGAAACAAATGCGATATCAAGGAAGAAAGGGAAGGCACAGCTGACGATCACAGACGCCCGACAGATAAATTCGTCGGTGCGTGGGAAAAATCTCGACAAAAAAGGTACCACACGACGTCCGAGTTTTCTTTAATGACTCACAGATTCAACATCTCAGAAAAACACGAGGCAGTGGTGAAACGGGTGAAAGAAGAACAAGAGATGACGCTTACCTATCACTGTCACTCGGATATCAGGGGTTGATTGTTGTGATGGTGTCCGACGAGGAACAAGATGATCGTCCGTCTTCCGGAGGCGTCGGGCGGAGATAACAGCGCGTGAGCTGTGCATGAGGATTGTCGGATTGCAGTAGGTTGTGGATGAGAGATGGATACACCGTGGATCAGATATTATATTGGTGTGTGGGATGATGGTTCATGATACATGAGAAGAGTAGCGTCAGCGTATTACTCATAGTGGGAAGGATGAGTAACATGAGAAAGAGACGGAGAGATGACTTCGGCCGCGGGCCGTGCGATGGAAAACGAAGGCGTGAGAATAAAGAGCACAGACGTATGATGGGCCCCAGAATACCAAAACAACAGTCTAGCCGCAATGGCTGGAGGAACGATCCGCACGGCGTGGTCTCATCACGAACGCCAAATCTAGTAGTTCTCATCCTTCTGTGTTTGAGGAGGGAAGATAGAGGAGTGATCCCACTAATCGGTCTGTAGACCACTTACTTTGGGATCTGATGAGATGGAATCATGAGGTATATTGAGATGGGCGAGAATGTCTACGAAAGAAGAGTCTAGACGGAAGGGGTGGAAGATGTGATTCAGATGTGACGATGATGATAAAACAAGAAAGTTGGGGGATTCGACGTTACCAGAAGATAGACGAGAAAGATATGTATATCAAAGTGAGTTGAGAACACCAACAACATCCACATGTGTAAGGATTGACGTGTATACTAGGCATGCACGTGGAATCATAGTCCGCAGATCCGAGAACAACAGATCGTAAAAGGTGTGGAGTGGGAAGATATGACTATCACTCACCCGTTTCAGGCGGTTGGACAACTTCACGTCCAAAGTCCAGAACACCAGAAATTTCGATGATATCACTCCTGATACTCCAAAGCTTCTTGTTCCTTCCACGTTTATCACGTTTACTGCCAGTTCCAATCTAACTCCACGTTATTCCGCAAACCCGGATGTTGAAAAAATCAGAATATCAAGTGCAATCGAATGGATGCCGTTTCGTATGTCGTATGTCGTATAACAGAAGTCGTATGTCGTAGTCGTTTTGTCCTAAATCCCAGATTAGGTATATATTTTTTCGTTTGAACCTTTCGTAATCTATTCGCTGATCAATCAATCAAATCTTCCCGTTCGGATCTTTTATCCACTCGATGCTATCGTCTTGGTGTGGAATATGACGAATCAAAAGGTAGAATGAAATCGATAAATGGAATGATAGGGGATATGACTAGATCTTTCCCTCGACCAAATCGCAATTTGATGTTGGAAAGAATTGAGTCTTTTTGATAGGATCAAGAAGCCGTCCCTGCCGACTCTGTCAATCCAGTTGAGATAGAGTCCGATGATGCGGCTCGGAGATACGACAATATAGAGGAGAAGAGATGATAGATGAATGGTGGCAATGAAGAGATGCGTAATAGATAAGGGTCAAACGTCGTTTTGTCGGTCCACCCTCTAGACCTCTAGCCCTCTATTCCTCTAATCCTCGGTCCAAGGGGCAGCCGGCAGTGAGGAAGACTGAAGAATCAGGTTCTTCGGAGAGTTCGGAGACCAAGAGATTTCTGTATCGGCGCGTGGGAAATTTCAGATGAGAGGATGCGCAGACCAAGAGGTCAGGGATCAGGGAACTAGTCCGAAATAACGATGATTTAAATGTCGGTTGGTCAAAGTATGATGTTGAAGAAAAGTTTTGACCAAGAATGAAAGAATGAAACATACAAGCTAAGCAGCTGTAGAGCTGTCACTACAACTTGACCATGAAAATGTGAAAAGTAATATTCACAACCCCCACGAAAGAGAAAATGACACGAGAGATTTTCAGGGAATAACCGAGTAAAATAGAAAGTTTCTTTCTTCATTGTCCCTTGAGGTTTTCCCACGCGGGTTTACTCATATAAGTATAGATTCGTGTTGCTCTTTGGTCTGTCAGAATTTATCTTTTGACTTGGACTTTTACAACTACAGTACTTCAAACGAATACGACGATGCATGATGATGGGACAAATGGGATCTGCCAAATCGTCAGAGGCTTGTGGCGATCGTCAGTGACCGCCATCGGGCACGTTCGGTCTCTTTCCCTGTCTCGCTTATCCTACATATACAGTATCTCTTGTGCATACGGGCCTTCTGTGCACAAATTTTAGGTCTACAACAATGTAGCATTTAGCAGAGAGACGATAGCCTCCCCATTTGTAGACCGTCAAGCATCTGTGATCTGTCAACACTTTCACGTCAGCTGGAAGGAAGTATCAGTTGATCAGTGGTCAGTGGCCAACGGTCAGGAACGATCACCGAGTTCAGGGTCAGGGACACGAGGGTCGAGCCGGCGCGCCGAGAGTGCCGATCCTCACACGGCCGCCGGCGGCCGGCGGAGTCAAATTTGTGTCTCTCGTGTCATCTAGAATTTGTAGAAGGAAGTTTGGCATCATTCAATCCGTCGACTCCGTGTATCCGTCGCCGACAAATCAAATGTTGCTCATCTCTTTTCTCCTCATCGTCAGAGGTTTTAGCTGTTCTGATGATGTGATTTCAAATTCCTCGACAGGACATTTACACAGAGGGATGAATGGAGAGAAACCTCTTACGAAGGGGGATCCATCTTAGTGTCCCACCTTACCTTGACACGTGCGTTCATCAATGAAGAAATGAGACGGCACTTGAAAACAACATGATATCATACCGCGGGTACGGTCCTAGACCAATCTGATACTCTAGGAACCTCACTCCAACCCTTTTTCCTATGTTCTTCCAAACCAATGAGAGCCATACCTGGTCCTAAAACCTCCAACTCCACTCCTGCCGTCTCTTCCACTTGCGCCTCGTCTTGAGCATTTGTCCACGCTTCAGCGCGAGTCATGGCTTCGGCACAGATTGTGTCGTATTCTTCTCTAAATATTTCCGGCCCACCAGTTTTTAAAGCTCTATCATCATCAGCTTTCTCACGACCTCAAAGAAGCTACACATACCCAGCGAGAGAACCTCCGACCCATGACATCAGACTGGGGACCCAACGTGGAGCTTTGGTTGTTGATGGAGTTGGAGGTAAGGGATCATTGATAATGTTCAATTTGTCATGCAGACCATACAACGGTTTGTAGGGTTCGTTATTCCGCATACGCCAGGTTTTCAGATCATAAATATCAGCTGGGGGAGTAGGAGACGTAGTGGAGGGTCGAAGGTGACTTAGAAGGGAATCGCGTAAACGAGGTATGAAGTTGGGTAGAGAAGCCGTTCCTCCAGTCACCAAAATTGTCTGGATCACCGTTGCTCGTATATCGACGGGCAGCTGTCATATAAGCATCCAGCGATGATGTGGGTGAGAAGCTGTAGCAGACTGACCTTCAAAAGACACTTGAGGATGAGTTGAGGTATCGAGATTGCTTCATCATCTCGATTCGTTTCATTCTCGAAAAATATCTCGGCCGCACGCTCTCGAATCCAGCCGGGCACGAGTAAATCTCCATAGCCCATGTCAGTGGGTGATCCCGTCGGAGGAGGTATTTTGGACTTCATTTCCACTGTAGATGAAGATGACTGGTATTTATGTCGTAGTGACCGTGCCAAACGTGCTTCTTCGTCTTCATCTACGTCTGCTCGGACAATCACTGGCGGCTCCATCGAGTCGTCCTCTTCTATCTGAGAGTTGGATGGTATATCTCCAACTAGACATCCCTCGCTTAAGATCCGTTCAATGATCTGATCCGATAATATCGACATGGGTACTGGTTGATGTCTGATACGGTTCGCTACCTCATTGAGCGACGCAGGTGGAACGATGTAGGTAGCATGATAATGAATCAAAAGACGTAGACGGTCGTGTAATGTTTTACCAGCCAAAGTAGTGGATTTAGCCAGATGAAGAAGTGGACGAGAGAACATGACCTAGGTGGTATTAGCGCGATGATTTGGTTTTTCATTATTCATGATCATCATAAAAGACTGCTCAAGAAAGACTTACAGGTGTCACAGTAGTTTCTAACCACCCACAATCCACCACAAGACCAGTTATCCTCCCACATGCCGCCAGGGATGCTAGACTGGAAGGGGTAAATGATACCGAAGGGACCTTTCAATCAGCTGCGTCACTTGGGAGTTCGATACTCACTCTTAGATTATCGAAGAGGACTCTGACCAAGTGATCTTTCACATAACTCGGCAAGTACGTGTTCTCCAGCACTATAACTTTCCTAGCTTTCGAATCGGTCATCAGATACCTGTTCATGTAAGCTTGGGCTAAAACGGTGGTTTAAAACTCACTTATGAAATGTTTCCCTCACGTTCCTCACCATCCTTAAACCTACGATTCTGTCCCCCTCGGCTCTATTACCTCTTGCCCCATCTATACAACCAAGATCAAAATTCCAAGCCTCTCCATCAAGGCCATCCGAATCCTTCTGAGCCCAGAAGACAGCTCTTGGATCAGGTTCGCCGGAGAAACCGACTTTCCAAATTCGAGATCCTGGACTGACACGTCAATAGGCATCTGAAGGCACTTGTATTACTCACTCTATGACTATTCTGTCTTCTATACCATAGAGAGAGTGACGTCTGGAGGACTAGAGGTGTCAATCGCGGCGGTGAATGAGTTGGTAGAGGAAACGTACGTAGGCAGGACTCGCACCTAATGGTCGCGCTCTACTTGGACCCGCCTCGGCGGACGAACCGAATGTAGCGCGTTTGGTCGGGGTTGTGAATGCTGCCGAGGGGTTTTGAATGTTGGGAGGGGGTCCCGGGGAGCTCATTATTGTCGCCGAGCTCGTGAAAAGCAATGTCCTATGCACTTCCTGAACACCATGTTCATACTAGATCACTAGAGACTCGGAGGAGGGAGAAGGAAAACTCCCCCCACTTTAGCACGTGGCAGCATCCCCGATCGGTTGAGAATTTTGTTCATCCACAACTTTACGCTGTTCATCCTTCAGAAAGTGTGTCAACGCAGCATATACTCCCTCGACGCTAACGTCTCTCATAAAGAATATCAATATCGCTCTTAACTGCCCATAATGGTCAACGAATCTGGTAAACGATCTTCAAATTCCAAGTCGGAGGGGTTCAAGCCCAAGCGACCTCGTCCTTCCGACTCATCCACCACAACGTCAAAGCCCAATACCGCCCCTCGTCCCGTTCCATCTTTCTTGTCTAGCTTACAAAATGAGGAGACGGACTTTCCAAGAGGAGGAGGTACAACCCTCACTGCTCTTGAGCTCAAGCAAACATTGCAGGAAGGTCGTCGTGAGGCTGACGCAGAGGTGCAGGCTGAAGTATGTCAAATCTCTTTTTGTATTGGCCAGGCATCTGATACTCAGTCGTCTACGGCTGCTGTTAAACGTAATGGTCATCAGGTTAGTGAACGTCAAATCAAGCGTTTGAAGAAGAACGAGGTCAAGGTGGACCACTCAGAGAGGGACAAGGACATCATAAGTGAGTTTATCACCTCCAGAATTTCAGTGCTTCCTCTGACATTCACAGGAGTGGAAGAACTCAGCTATAAAAGACTTACAGAAGGGATGAGAATCCTTACAAGGATACATACCGTACTACCACTCCATCTCATTGTTTCACTTCCCAATAATTTGCTCGCTCATGTACCCATCACCGAAATTTCCACTACCCTTACTCGTCTTCTATCTGCGGAGGAAGCCATGTCTGTATCAGAGGACGAAGAGGAAGAGGACTCATCATCCGCACCTGACCTCGGTAGTCTTTTCACCCCGGGACAATACTTTCCTGCCAAAGTATTGACCGTATTCCCAACTGCAAGTCAATCTTTCGCCTCTCAGTATCCACCATCCGAAACTACGAGATTGGCCGCTAGGGTAGAAATGACTCTGGTACCTGAAAAGGTCAACTCGGATGTGGCCAGTGTAGATCTAAGTCCCGGTTATGCAGTGACCGGAGAGGTCATATCGGAGGAAGATAAGGGTTGGCGTGTGAAGTTCGTGGCGGAAAGTTCTGACAATGTGGTCGAAGGATGGTTAAGCAAAGCCGAAGCGGAGAAGAATAGTACGCACATCCTACCCATTATCTCAGATCTTCAGCTGATGAGTGAGATTTCCACATTGTGGTCGGCCAATTGCTCCCTTGCACTATCAGCGCCTCTTCAGCGGGAGGACGAGTCGTTCAACTTTCTCTCGACCATCAAACCCTTGTCCGTTCAGAGCAGAAGGCTGTTTCAGAAGTGGGCTCGCTATTACCTGGGCATCTGGTGATCGCTCTGATCACTGCTGTCGTTCCCAGTGGTCTCAACGTCAAGATCTCTGGGTTCTACGACGGGACCATCGAAGTAGCCCATCTGCCGTTGGGTGACTCTGATATCGACGACAAGTACAAGGTCGGCAAGAAGGTGCAGGCGAGGGTCATCTATGAAGCTAATTCTCATGATCCTCGTCACTTTTCACTATCCGCGCTACCTCATATAATCACATTCTCGAGCCCGACAACAAAGACCGGCATTCCTCTGGAACAGGGTGTCGAAATAGGACGGGTGTTTGACTCTCTCAAGGTCGTGAGGATCATCCCAGAATGGGGCGTCATTTGTCGGACGGATGATGGACTAGATGGCTTTGTTCACGTGGGTCTCACGACTATCTTAAGACCTTCGATTGACATGATAGATCAGTCACTTGTCTGACGAAAGGCTACCTGCTTTGAACTCCGGTACAGCTGAATTCAGAGCTGGGACCGTGCATCGAGGACGTGTCATCGGACATTCGCCCCTTGACGGTGTTCTGCTTTTCAGTTTCGAGCGGAAGATCATCAACCAAGTTTTCATGCAGGTGAACGAACTTCAAGTAGGACAAGTCCTCAAGGTCAGTCATGCCCTCTTCTCAGATACCTCTGCTGAATCCGCAGGGAACGATTCAACGTCTCACCGATCAGATGCTTTTTGTCAATATAAATGGCTCCGTCGACGGAATTGTTCGGCCTTTGCATTACGCCGACATTGTACTGAAGCACCCTGAGAAGAGGTTCAGACCGGGGTCGACTGTCCGAGCTCGAGTTTTCTCCCTGGATCCGGCTCGCAATCGGGTCGTCTTGACGCTCAAGAGGACCCTCATAGATTCTCCCCTGGACATTCCCACCAAGTTCGAGAATGTGAGAAAAGGTCAGCTCATCCCTGCGGTCATCTCCAAAATCCTGGATAAAGGCTGTTTAGTGGATCTTTTCGGCGATATGAAGGCTTTCTTGCCTCAATCCGAAGCGAGTGAAGCTGTGGTGGCCAACATCGCCGAGATATTCTACATCGGAAAACCCGTCAATGTCCGTGTCATCGATCTCACTCCCGAATCGCAACGGATCTTCGTATCCGTTCGACAAGCTAAGTTTGATCCAGTCTCTGAAGTGCCCGTGAAAGTCGGTGAAATCGTCAATGGGATCGCCACCGAAATCCACCCTGCTCAGATTCTCGTCACCCTCACTCCTAGTCGACATCCCGCTCTGCTCTCTCTGCGCAGTCTGGCAATACAGCGCAAAATGACTGACGACGAGCTCCGGTCGAACCTCAAAGTCGGCGAAAAAGTCGACGGTTTGAGGGTGGTATCGAAGAACCCCACCACCGGACTTCTTATTGTCGCTTATACAACTCGCGGGGGCGGGGTCGTTTCGGTTTCCAATACGACGGCAGCGTTAGAAGAAAGCGACATACAACCTGGGCAAATAATATCTGGCCGAGTGGCTTCCTACACGCCTGTAGGAACGATCATTCAGCTCGGTCATAGTGTGAGGGGAGTGGTACATCCTTGTGACGCCTCGGATGACTTTGCCGAGATCGCAGAGGGCGATGGGCCCTTACGAGTCGGGGAAGAGATCAAGGCTTATGTTCTGGCTATCGATCCAATTAGCAAAGCTGTTCAACTTTCCACAAGAGTATCCAGAGCTCATCCCGACCAGGCGACAGAGAGCATTGATCCAGAGGTGGAAAGAGTGGGAGAATTGCAGTCAGGGCAGAGCATCAGAGGATTGGTAAAGCATGTTGCTGCCCATGGACTTTTTGTGGCTCTAGGAAGGACAGTTACCGCACGTGTAATGATTCGCGAGCTGTTCGATGATGTGAGTCGTTTCAATGTGGATGAAGAGATGCTGATCATCAGTTTGTCAAAGAATGGGAATCACACTTCCACGTCAATCAATTGGTATCTGGGAAAATCTTGAGGTGCGTATCTGCTGCTCTACATCGGAAGCTCGGCTGATCGATAGTGTGGATGAACAGCGTAATCAAGTCGAGATGACTTTGCGTCAAGATTCAACTGTGAGACATAAACGTGAAGCTCAATTTGGGCTCAGCGATTTCAAAGAAGGACAAAAAGTTATTGCTGTTGTCAAGAGGGTAGAAAGGTATGGTATGTTTCTGCGCATTGAAGGTAGCGGAGTCTCAGGATTATGCCACAAGTCGGAAGTGAGTCACTCCTCACGATCTGTATTCCATCCTACATCACGCCAACGAGCCTAAGAGAGGCTTCGTATGTCGTTCAAAGGGTCACTTTGCTGACGGTTAGCTGTCTGAAGATCCTACGCAGGACGTCAGCGAAGCTCTGTTGGGGTTCCGGCCCGGTGACAAAGTCAAAGCGATGATCGTCAGTGTGAATAGAGAGAGTGGGAAGATTGATTTCGGTATCAAGGCGAGCTACTTCAACGACGACGACTTCATGGGTCCCTCTGGAACCGGAAGTATGTCTGCCCCAGCCATGACCCACGGCGGGGATGCGGAAAGTGAATCGGAGGAGGATGGGCTTATGGACGAAGACGGTGACGATGAGGATTTGGACGTACATGAGGCTGAGGGCTCGGAAGAACACATTGACGTGGATGAAAGTGTCGAAGAAGACGAGTCGGACGATGAGATAGTGGTGAGCTTCTCTGCTCTCACAGAAGTGCCCACTAGTATCTGACCTTTCTAGCTGGAGATTTCCGCTCCTCCCACACGAACGAATAGTCCCAAACCATCTCCGACGAAGGCCAACGTGGCACCTACAGCACTCCGAGTTTCTGCCGGATTTGATTGGTCCGGTCGAGCTCCCTCCCCTGTTCCCTCTTCGTCTTCGTCTTCTGCCTCTGATGAAGACCTCCCATCTTCCAGATCGAAATTTAAAAAAGCTGTGGCGGACGATCTCACTTCCACTTCAGCAGACAACCAACCTTCTTCTTCAGCAGAATTTGAACGAGCATTATTCGCTTCACCCAATTCCTCATTCTTATGGATTCAGTACATGTCCTTCCAATTACAACTTCACGAAGTGGACAAAGCTCGACGTATAGGTAGAGAAGCTTTGGAGAAGATCACTTATAGAGAGGAAGGAGAGAAATTGAACGTCTGGATGGCATTGATAAATCTTGAATTGGGATTTGGGACGGAGGAAAGTACGGAAAAGGTTTTCAAAAAAGCTGTACAGTATAATGACGCGAGGACTGTATATATCAGATATGCTGAGGCTCTCACTGCTGCCGGTAAAGACCAGGTAAGCTGTTAAGTGGTTTTGACACTGTGACCAAGCTGACATGCAGATGACTGAGGAAATACATAAAAAGACAGTTAAGAAATTTGGAGCTTTTCCAGAATCTTGGACTAAGTTCGCTAGTTATTATTTGGCCAAAGGGGATACAGCATCAGCTAGGGCTTTGTTGCCGAGAGCAATGAAGTCACTTGAATCTAGTAAACGTGAGTAAGGGTCTCAGTTTTCTTACATACTTCACCTTGCCATTTCCCTTCTTCCATAAATCCCCATCATGTACCTCCTGTTTCAAGACACGACTGCCCATCTCACGACTGCCCAAATTTCTGTACCGACCACTGACTTATATCCATTGGCGGATCGAATGGCCATAGACATGAAATGAAAGACGCTGATCCATCCAGACTTGGAAATGATAGAAAAAATGGCAGTGCTAGAGTTCAAACATGGTGACGCAGAACGAGGCAAAACATTGTTCGAAGGTCTGTTAGAAAGATATCCCAAGAAATTAGATTTATGGTCTGTGTACATTGATCAATTGGCCAAAGTGAATGATATTCAAGCTGTAAGGTAGGTTCATATTTTTCATTCATCTCACTTTAATATACTTTTAAAATCTCGGTCATATTCACACTAATAACACATCCAAGTCGCCCGTCTTCATTCTCCACTCTCTTACATACTCAGGCCAATACTGTCAATAACTGTGGCCTCATGATGAAGAGCGTGAGGCTAAGGTCTCTCTCCCTCATCGGGGACACTGTGTCGAAATACGGGCGATAAGACGAATATGAGGATTGATGTCATGTGCTTCATGGTTTTATAGAGACCCTTTGTGAAGGTACAATGCTTATATCTCAGAACCGCGTTTGATCGTGCTCTCGATCGAAAACTCAATAGCACAAAAGCAAAGTTTTTGTTCAAGAAATGGCTCAATATAGAGATGAGGATTGGTGATGTTAAAGGTCAAGAGAAGGCCAAGGAGAGGGCCAGGGAATGGGTAGCGAATAATGTTAAAGTGGAGAGTGAGGAGGAGGGTGACGTCTGATTGAAAAGCGGTCCATCCATCGACATTTTGACACGGATCATTGGAGTGTCAAACTTCATACCATTCAAAAATATGCATCTGATTTCAGGCTGAAAGTCTAGGACTGGAATCCTTCGTGTCGGACAGACAGACGTCAGAAGATAAACGAGAGTTTATGCATATTTTTGTTCATGCAAAATGCGCTACAAACGATGACAACACAATGATCTATGATAAGTTTTGAAGCAAATGAGTGAATACAAGCAAAGACAAAAGAAAATAAAGATTCAATAATCGTCCATATCTTCATCACTATCTTCCACTACTGTTCATCAGCTGGGTTCATCTTGACGGGTGATGATGAGTACAGTGAGAACAGTGAGGACAAGTCATCATAAATGTCGAACTCACCAGCAGGAGCTTGGATACTTCCAAGGATTTGACTACTGGTTGAAGAATCCGGGAAAGAGGTGACACTCTTTTCGGGACTGACGGAAGATATAGGGGAAGAGAAATCTGGATCAGGTTGATGAGGAGGTTGACCTAATCTACTCGGACCAGGAGCAGCACGTGGAAACCCGGTTGGGGTGGCTAAGAGTTAGTCGTTTTCTCGTATGACCATAATAGCGACCACATGTATATCAGGTTCAAGTGGACAATATCTCTCCATTGATAGTCAAACGTGAAATGAACGAGGAAGAAATTCGAATCGAGGAAAGAAGAGCTTCTCAACGGTTTGTCTCTTATGATCGAGGTGTGGCAGAGAAAATTCGAAATTAGAAAAAAGAGAGGGAAGCAGACCGGGGAAGGAGTAGCCAAAAACATACCACTTCTGAACCAGGATGAAGTCTTTGCCTATTTGTCCCACTTTACTAGGTGATTTATTCCTTTTCATACCATTTGGTGTACTCGAACCGTTCATTTCTATTATCAGTATTTACGTTCCTCGAGCCTACCTTCGGAACTCGTGAAAGGAAATATCATGAATGCCCTGATGGCGCAGAGGTTGATGAATAAACTTGCCCCTTTTCGAACTCTTGAGTGATTTGAGTGGATAGAGTGAGGACAAAAACAATTACTCACTCTTTTTCTTACTTGCCACACTCTCTTCTGAACCTGCTTCACTGGGTTGATAATATGGTGAACTTGATCTTTCTGTAGTTCCTAATCGAATTTTGTTTGCGGCTGCTCTGGCACCACGACGAGTTGAACCTTTTAGTCCGAGACATGAAGAGAGATGAGGGGCGTAACGATTCGAAGTGATCTGAAGATAAGTCTATCTCCTACAAACAGGTTCATGGCCAGGAAGATAATATCCGGACACCTACTAGGATTCAAAGGGTATAGGGAAAGAAGGAATGTGAGTAAAACATAGGATAAGGAATATATGATGTTTGCCAACCTTAAAAAAACTCACAAGCCTTCGACAAACGAGACATTCGAAAAACACGTTCCCACTATTATCCATTTTTCCACTTCCTGATCCTATACCAGTAGCACCACCCGTCCCTTTCTCAGGTCCTACTAAATACCCTCCAGCTTGAGACGGCGTTTCTTGCACCAGAGGTTGATGTCCTCTACAACTGACCATCAATTGGCTGTACATATGGGCTCCACTCTTTAATTACTTTTTGTGCCTCCTAAAATACCTAAAGAGAGATCTAGAAGACAATGAAAAGAGAGAGACGGGGTACTGACTGAGTATGACAGATGTTACATGGTAATCTACCCCTGACGATCTCACGATGAGCCGAGATGGTGGTGGTAAGTAACACGTTATCTAGCATTTCGTCGAATATGGAATTTGCCTATATGTCAGGTATGTCAATATATATGGAAGTGTGTGACTTACCATGACTTTGAGCTCTTCATCGAGGTCTGGCATCTTGTTCAGACTTTGACGCTCGAAGCTGAAAGGGTCGAGCACGGACGGGCGTTACAAGTGTTACACAACTTTGTAGAAGCGGGCCAGTGATCCAGTGATCCAGTGAATGAGATCCGGTCAATGATGAATCGAAGCTTTCGAATAGATATGTGGGACTGAAGATATACCGCTGGCAACGCTTTGGCTGACCACAGCTTGTGAACCCGTCGAATCAAGATCTTGAATCTTTTGAATCATTGGACATGTCCGAGATCCGAAAGGGGAGATCAACCACGAGAGAACCACGTGGTAAGTCAGCTTCCGACGGAAACCAGGGCGGGCCAGCGTTAGCATGCAGCAATTCAGCATTGACTTTGAGCTTGTTGACTGGCAGAGAGGTCACAGCAGGTGGTAGCCACCAGTCAGACGATATCGTCTACATAGCTGGATTTATCGCTACCGGCGCTGTCTACAACATCATCCGATTTGCTCCTGTCTTTTGAGGCTCAACTGATCGACTGGCGACGCGAGGCATGTTAGACACGCGTATGGAGGCGAGTTTCAGTCATCTTGGACTTGTGCAAGAGTCTTGCAGAGTTCAGTCCGATATGGATCCCTACATGCATTTGGGCGACGAGTATGCTATTTACACAAAGTAGACACTGTACGCACTGTACCAGCTGGCTACAAATGCATCGGGTTTTGATAAAACCGGCCAACCGAGCCATGGGCGTCATAGCTTTTGGTGAGTGGTCCGAGCGCGCTATGACCACGATCAATCCAATCCCTCTCCCCTCGCCATCTTCCCCTCCCCCCCTCCCCCCACCCACCTCGATACAAAAGTCTCACCCCCTTGTCGCCACCTCCTCTTCCAAATTTTGTAACCTCAGCTGGCTGCCCTTTGTCCCCTTGTCCCCTTTCTGTCACCGTTACTCCCGACATAATGCTGCGAGGTGATAGACATCCACGATATCTGTCACGTCGCACCGCCTTTGACACCTGAAGTCTTCCGATTACCGACGCTGGGTCCGTTCTCTTTCTCCCTTTCATGTTTTTTCTCGAGTCCTTCGTCGCACGTTTTGTCTTTCTTCCTATGTCCTCTTTCACCTGTTAACTTTATCCTTCCTCGTTCATGGT